CCGAGCCCACAGAAGCCCCCCCCCCCCGCCACTAAAACCCGGGGGAAAGTTACTGACCCTGACAAACCCCCAGGGGATGGGGGAGAAACCCTCGATCCCGGCCCCGCCGGGCAGCCTCCAAGGTCTCCAAGCCAGTAAAGGCCAGCTGTGAGGGCTCCGGGGCTGGGGCCAGGCTGGCTGCTGCACCGTCCCCGCAGAGCCGGCCCGGGCCCCCGGAGTCATCTCCCCCCGGGAGACCCCGCACTCCGCACCACGGGCCCCCTACCCGGCCGTCGCCTCCAGCCCGGCCTCTGGGCGCCCTCCGCACCCCCTAGCACCCAGTCCCCTCCCTCCAGCTGCTGCGAGGGGGACAGATGTGCGAGAGGACCCCGGCCACGTGCGTGCAGCCCGCCCTGCCCCGCGCCCAGCTGGACCCCGCGCCCCGACGGGGCTGCTGAAGTTTCAGCGGAGGGCAGCGGGCAAGGCCGGCCGCATCTGCCTGTCTGCCTGCACTAACCCGGGCCGGGCGGTCGGCGGGGCGGGCTGCCCGGCGGGGCCGGGGCTGCGGGGAGCCCCGGCGGCCGCAGCTGCGTGAATGCAGCGCCGTGTCCGAGCATGCGGGGGGAGAAGTCAGCAGCCGCCGGACCGTGATGTGGCACCTCGGGGCTTGCAGGCGCGCCGCGGGAGCTCTGGCCCGGGAGGTGGAGGTGGGGGCAGGCCAGCAAGGCCAGTCGTCCCCCCTGCCAACCCCCTCCTTACACAGACAGTCCGCGCCGGGCTGGACTCAGCTTCCCCGTCCGCCCTCGCACCCAAATCCCTTGGATCCCTACGGCCAAAACGATGGCAAACCCGGGAGCCAGCCCTCGACCCATCCCGGGCACAACCTAGTGATCACCAGTGTCTCCCAACATCCAGCTTCCCCGGGAGCCCTAGGCTCAGCCCGCGTGGCGCACGGCTCAATCCCAGCCCCCCCTCACTTGCTCCTAGGCTGCCCCAGGCCCCCGCAAAGGCCCTGCCCGCACAGACTCGGGGGTGCCAGCTCCAGGGAGCCTGCGCTGCTCCAAGCAGGTGTCTCCGACGGGCTGCAGCGGGTGGGCACCGCATGAGGTCGTTAGCCACAGACCTGGGTAATGCCCACTTAGAGCTCCGGGGTCCCGGGCCCATCTCGTGGGATCGGAACACGTAGCACCCCCGTGGGGCAGATCCAGGTATGCAAAGAGCCACGGCAGAGAGTTTGCCCCTGGAGCTGAGCTCGGTCTTGCGCGGGCCGCGGGGTGCGGAGAGGGGTCGCGGGCAGGGGACCACCATCCTGCAGGCCCCGCACGGGCAAGAGAGGCAGTGCCCGGGGCTTCAAAACAGGCACCTCTCGCAGGTGCCCCAGGAGCTGCCCCCTGCTCAGACAGCACCGGATGGTGCGCGTGTGTCTGTGCGTGTCTGTCCCCATCACAATAGGACCTGGCGGCTGAATGGAGAAACAGGATTTCGGGTGGTTTGATTTGACATCAGGAAATTGCTGCGTTTGTAATATTATAACGGGGGGGGGGGGGGGGG